CATGGGCTGGCCTCTTGGGACCACCTGGCCTATATGTGTTCTGTCATCACCCAAAATGAGGTTAAATGACACATGACTAGGCCCCCCCTGGTGGCGCAAGGGGTTAAGACACAACCTATGAAGCTATCCACAGCCACTACAGCAGGAGTTCAATCCCTGGCCAGGGAGCTACCCTCATGGTGCAGCAGACCTTTCCTGATTCACCCGCTACTTCCTTCAGCAGTGTATTTCAGTCAATATGCCCATTGTATTCCCCACTCTGTCTCTGGTGAATCCTCTCACCCTCCACACCTCTGGCCTATACTCCAGATCGTGTATGCATAAATAAATAAATCTTTTTTAAAAAATGACACACGACTATATACATACAGTGGAATATTATTCAGCTCTAAAAAGAAAGAAAATTCTGATGCCTACCATAACATGGCTGAACTTTGAGAATATGATACTAAGTCAAGTAAACCAGTCATAAAAAGATAAATGCTGTATGATTCCACTTATATGAGGTAGCTAGAGTAGTCAAATTCATAGACACAGAAAGTAAAATGGTGGTTACCAGGGACTAGAGACAGGCCTAGGGGCTAGGAGTTGTTGTTTAATAGGTTTTGAGTTTCAGGTTTTCAAGATGAAAAAGGTCTGGAGACTGATTGCACATCACTGTGAATACATGTACACTGCTGACTGTACATTTGAGAATGGTTGAATGGTAAACTTTATTTTATGTGTATTTTACCTAATTAAAAATAAAGCATTTTAAAACAACTATACTAACATACGTAGAGACATAGGAGATAATATTATGTCCCTGAATAAGATGCTGTGAAAAAGAACAAGAAATTGCTCTTAAAAGTGAAAAACTATGAGAAAAGACTTTTTTTTTTTAAATTCTAATAGAAAAGTTGGAAGATACAGTTGAGGTAATGTCCCAGAAAATAGAACAAAACATTTAAAAAAGTGGAAAATTGGAAAGAACATTTGAAAACTTAGAGAATGGAGCCAAGAGGTCCAACATCCAAGTAGAATTTAAAAAACAGAAAGAGAAACAAAATGGAGAGAATGACCACAAAGATCTGTCCCCCAAGTTGATTTCCAGATTAAAAGACCCAGCAAGTGCCCAGAGTAAATGCACATCATTATGAAAGCTTAGACTTCTGGAAGGTCCTGCAAACCAGAGGGAAAAATCAGTTCATACACAAGATCAGGTATCAGAATGCCATTTGACTTTTCAACAGTAACAACAGATCGGGTTCTCAAAATTCCAAGGGAAATTTATTTCCAATCTAGAATCATACACCCAGCCAAACTATCAATCAAAGCTACTATAGCATAAGTTCTCCAAAGCAAGGAATAGACCAAGGAGGGAAAAGAGACAAGGCATCTAGAAAACAGGCTCCAACACAGAGGAAAGGCAAGAGGCAAAGGCAATACCCAGGTGGTAATAGAGCAGAGTTCCAGGCCAAGGGATTTGCTGGGTGATGGGGCAGATTGGAGCCTGGGACAATGCCTCAGGGCAGGCGTAGCGGTTGTTGCTAACAAACACAGATCTGAAAGGTATTTAACCAGGTTGGACAATTGGGGAATGAATTAGGGATAGGTGCATGCATCTGTTTTATTTTTGTTTTAATGAGGTGATTATATACTTCTGGAAAAAAGCAAAGAAAGTTGTCTAAGAAGAGAGAGGCATGGCATCCGAGCCCACTTCAAGGCTCAACGTCTAACCATATCTGCATCATGTGTAATTAAACCCTGGACATCACTGCAACAACAAAATGTCCTAAATTCAACTGGGAGGGAGGTGTGAGGAAGGATGTGTGTGATGAGGGAACATTGGAGGCACTGAATCCTCATCTTCTGTAACCAGGAGGCAACAGAGAAAGTTCTAAAGGCTGGAAAATCAGAATTAGGCATGCTATTTTGAAACAGGGAGACACACGACAAAAGTGCCATCTGAAGTGTGTAAAAGAGTGGCTGTCTTTGGAAGTGAGATTTGAGATTGCATTTTTTTAATTATAAGCCTCCTAGAAGGCATCTATCTGACTTTTTAAACAAACACAAGTATAATAGGACAGAAATAAAAATTAAACTGAAAAGAGAAAAACTCCAACTCCCCCCCCCCACCCCCCCATCCAGTCGCGACGTGGTGATGAGCAGAACAGAGCAGGGAGCTCTTACCTGGACTGCAGTGAGGGGCAGCAAGATTCTTTGGAGGACATAGCCTGGCGTTCTGCCTGCATAAAGATCTACTTTTCTTGTCTCCTGAATGGAAAGAATGGGGAACCTCTGAGGGCAGCTGACCCTCTAAAGGAGCAAGTTTGGAGGGAGACAAGAAGACCCAAGGCCAAGCCTGGAGGTTGTAAGGAGACTGCGAAGTGAGGAGGGGGCTGGGGGATTCCTGCCAAGGTGAGTTGTTAACAAGGTAACAAAAGGGTTAGTTATGTGAATGCAGCTCTTGAGGTCCAGGAGACTTCACTTAAAAACAGACTATCGCACATTGTGATTCCACACAGTTCCCGGAGACCCGAATTTTCCAGAAGCAATGGGAACAGAAGTGAGGACAGCAGGGCAAGGCAGGGCATGGCGGGGCATGGCGGCTCTCAGGTATAGCACATCTACCTGCAGCTCCTTGATCTCCTGTCCTCCGGAGGGGTAGCACACCCAAAAAAAATGCACGCAACCCTTATACAAAATAACAGCTGATTGTCTGTGTCCTCAAGTGTTAACCTTAGCAACCTCAGCAGGCGATGCATGGCGGTATTGCAGATTTGCAAACTGAAACTGTGCTGCGGGTTCATCCCACCATTCCCCGGCCATTTGGGGAGGAAGAGAATCCCATGGCAGGAAGATCCAGGGGTGGACATAAAAGACCCAAGGCAGGGGGCAGAATTTTTCAGTGAATGGCCCTTCAGGTCAAAACTAACTGAAGCTCTTTCCACAAAAGGAGTTGGACGAGTTAATATCTCCATTAGCCCGAGAGGCGAATGAAAAGCACTTGAATGATTTCAGAGCCTGTCCTCCCTTGGGGAAAAGAGGCCACATCTACAGGAACAGTGGGAGACTTCCACGTCCTTCTTATGTGGATTTCTACCCCAAGCATGTACTCCTTCTATAATCAGCGAAAGGCAATAAAGACATTTCCATATTGAACATAAAAGAAAATGAGGCTGCGGTGCACCAGAGCCTGCCATTCCAAGTAACTTCCTGTTCTTCACTCAATGTCATTTTAGGACATTCTGTGATGCAGCTTTGGTGGGGTTCTTCTTTTGCCCCCCACAAGGACTCAGAACCCAGCATGCACCACTGTGACTATTTAAAGTTGCCTGGGCTGAGGATCACCGATTCCCCGCAGCCCCCAATGGCCCCCACTCCGGGAAGTGACTTGGTTTGGCCTGGCTGGGCCCAAACCTCTGAGCTCATCCCCGACCTGGAGGTATCCCCAAATGTCCTGACCCCATCCCAGGGTAAAGCTTGGGAGTTGGCTGTGGAAGAGCCGAGCCAAGCTGAGTCCTGGGCCCATCAGAGCAGCCCTGGGGTTCCAGGGAGCTTGTGGCTAACAAGTCCTGACAGGGAGGAGCCCGTCCCCACGCCCAGGGCCAGCTCTGTCCAGCACACTAGCACGACGCCCAAGTAAGAGTCCCTGCCAGGGGCCCCAAGGGAGGATGGAAAATGCCCTGTGCATACATAGGGTGGACTCGCAGAAAGGTGCCAGACCACTCAAGGGTCACCCCAGCCTGCAGGGAGCCCTAGTTCCACCTCCTATCAGCCCTGTGGCCTTTGGCAAGTCATGTAACTGAGCCTGGGCGGACCTGAGGATTAAGGGAGACAATGAATGCAAACCCCCAGCGTGTTGGGAGTCCACAAACTGGAGTTTTATCTGTTTAATCCTCGGGGAGTCCAGAGGCTGCCCTTTGACCAGGAGCTTTTCATTGGTAATTCCCACAGACCCAGGACTGCTGAGAAAGGTACCCCCACCCTCAAAGAGCACCCTCCCTGCTTTAGCCCAGGGCGGAGCGCTGCCCACCGCGGGAGCAGGGACTGACCGGTCTCCCAGCTGAGGCCCAGCGGCCAGGCCCACGACCTTGGAAGAACCTGGGAGAAAGCCTCACCAGCCGACAGTACTTTTCCACTGCTCTGCTCGGCCACCTCAGCTGGCTTTCTGCTGTGCAGACAGGAGGCTGCGTGCCAGGCCGGCCATCAGGAACCCACCCAAAAGCACTCCCGGGGATGGGGACAGGAACCTGGTGTGGGTGAAGGGGCGCGGGAATCCTAGAAAGAGAGGAGGGGGCCCGGAATGCAGCAAGGGGAGCTTGGAGGCCACAGTGGGGCCAGAGAAATTTGCACTGTAAGGCCCCCCGGTCCCTCCCAGAAGGCCCCTGCTCCTCCACCGCGCTCCCCAACCCCACCCCTCAAAAATAATGATAAAACTCGTCCCAGCGCGCAGGAGCCGGGTCGGGGCGCCGCGCTCGCCCGCGCCGGGGGAGGAGACGAGGCGAGGCGAGGGGAGGGGCGCGGAGCTAGCGGTCCCGCCCGGTGATGCAGCCGCCCGCGGAGGTGGAGCCGCGACGCCGGAGGAGTCCCCGCTGCAGTCGCGCGCTCGGTCTGCCCCTCCGAGCAGCCCGCACCAGCCCGGCTCCCGCGACTTCCCTGCCGCCACCCTCTGGGCGGCGGGGACCGCGGGCACCCCCTGTTCGGGGCCTGAGGGGCGCCCCCACCACGCCCGGCCCCGACCCCTCCAGGCTGGCCGGACGGCTGGAGCGGCTCCCGGGAGAAGCTGTTCTCGGACGCTCGGCCGCCGCCCGGGCATCTCGGCAGCCGGCGCGGCGGGGCACCCGGCATCTGCGGAGCGAGCGCTGCCGGCCTCTCCGGGCACCGACTGCCTCCGGCGCCGCCCAGCTGCCGGCCACCCCGGGCCCGCGGGCTTCCGCGCGCGCCCCGCTCCCCCGGCCCCGGGCAGGCGCCCGCGAGCCCCGGGCGACCCCGGCCCCCGGGCCAGCGCCGCCGCGATGCTGCCCTGGAGACGCAACAAATTCGTGCTGGTGGAGGACGAGGCCAAGTGCAAGGCCAAGAGCCTGAGCCCGGGGCTCGCCTACACGTCGCTGCTCTCCAGCTTCCTGCGCTCCTGCCCGGACCTGCTGCCCGAGTGGCCGCTGGAGCGCCTGGGCCGCGTGTTCCGCAGCCGGCGCCAGAAAGTGGAGCTCAACAAGGAGGACCCGACCTACACCGTGTGGTACCTGGGCAACGCCGTCACCCTGCACGCCAAGGGCGACGGCTGCACCGACGACGCCGTGGGCAAGATCTGGGCGCGCTGCGGGCCGGGCGGGGGCACCAAGATGAAGCTGACGCTGGGGCCCCACGGCATCCGCATGCAGCCGGTCGAGCGCGGCGCCGCGGGGGGCGCGGGGGGCCGCAGACCCGCGCACGCCTACCTGCTGCCGCGCATCACCTACTGCGCGGCGGACGGGCGGCACCCGCGCGTCTTCGCCTGGGTCTACCGCCACCAGGCGCGCCACAAGGCCGTGGTGCTGCGCTGCCACGCCGTGCTGCTGGCGCGGGCGCACAAGGCGCGCGCCCTGGCCCGCCTGCTCCGCCAGACCGCGCTGGCGGCCTTCAGCGACTTCAAGCGCCTGCAGCGCCAGAGCGACGCGCGCCACGTGCGCCAGCAGCACCTCCGCGCGGGGGGCGCCGCCGCCTCGGTGCCCCGCGCCCCGCTGCGCCGGCTGCTCAACGCCAAGTGCGCCTACCGGCCGCCCGCCGCCGAGCGCGCCCGCGGGGCCCCGCGCCTCAGCAGCATCCAGGAGGAGGACGAAGAGGAGGAGCTGGAGGACGAGGGGCGCGAGGAGGGAGCCCCCCGCGCGAGCGGCCCGAGGTGCTCAGCCTGGCCCGGGAGCTGAGGACGTGCAGCCTGCGGGGCGCCCCGGCCCCGCCGCCCCCCGCGCAGCCCCGCCGCTGGAGAGCCGGCCCCCGGGAGCGGGAGCGGGTGGGCCTGGCGCGCTGAGAGCGGAGGGGGCGGGACTGTGGCCCCCGACCCGGCCGGCCTGACTCAGGCCTCAACCCTGGCCCTGTCCGCTTCCGCTCTGCCTCCCTCGTGGTCTCCATTGTTGCCCGCCCAGCGCCTCATCCTGGCTCAGGGTGAAGCCTGAATTGCCCTTGGTTGGGGGACTGGCTGGGGGAGAGCCGCAGTGCTCGGAGTTCACCTCCCCCCTCACCCGGAGACTGCGGCGCCCTTCGTTGGAATCGCCCCCTCTGCTTTACACCACGCCTCTTTGCCCGTAGACCACCTGCTCCCTTCCAGAACGCCCCCTCAAGAGAAGGGGGTAGAATTTTCCAGAAATCCAGAAGGGTGGGCCTGTACCCTGGTCAGGGTGGTGCCAGTGCACCACGCTTGGCCGCTCTAAGCCTTGGAGGGGAATACAAGGCCCTGGAGAAGGGAGGCCACAGTGGGAACTGAATCTGCCGCCCGATACACAGGGAAGGATTCTCAGACCCTGTTCTGGGCCCCTGCCCCTTGGAGGACTTCTAGTACTTTACTGCTCTGCCTCTGGAGAGACTGGAAAGGCCCTCGCAACCCAAACAACAGGTTGGGTAGGTCAGGTACCAGCTCTGCACCAGGCACTGCCCAAACCTGTGCCCTGGCACCCCAACCCCCACCCCTCGCACACCCCCATCTCTGCAGACAGAGTGCGTGTGGCTGTGGCTCCCCAGAGGTGCCTCACAACCAGGACCAAGACGGGGCCTCCAAAGGAGGTAAGGCTAGCCTTTGCAGGTGCTTGAGGACACCGAGCACCCCAACGTGGACACGGGGGGGGGTGTGCCCCAAGTCAGGGTCTGTCAGACAGAGCCCTACTGCAGCAGGATTCCCACGGCATGATGCAGGGGGAGGTGCCAGACCGCCCACAGGGAGTGGGTCCCTGCCCAGGTGTCTCTCCACCAGGCCGCAAAAAGCCCAAAGATCTATGTGTCACCAAATGGTCAATGTAAATAAAGTGGACCTGCTTTTTCAGCCTTGTCATCACTACTGTGTTGTGTTGATGCCAGGCCTGCTGTGGGGGCCCTAAGAAGTCACCTCCTTTAGCAGCTGGAGCCACCTCTAGGGATGGGGGAGGGGCACCGCCACCAAGAAGCTGTTCCCTCACATGGGTGAGGGCGGCGGCACCCTGTGTCTGCAGATCCCATGAGCCAAGCCACGGAGGCGAGCTGGCTGGCTGGCTGCCTCCCAGGATGTCTGTCCTGGGCACGCAAAGGCAAGTGTCTCTGGGACATTGGGTAGGGAGGGGCCTGGGCTAGGGGCTTCTTATCAACCACAACCTGTCTGGAAGCAGGAGGAATATCCGAGTCTCCCGGGGCTGGGAAGGGAGACAGGTGGTAAGGGGGTAGGCTGCTCTTCTTTCAGAGGAGCAGAGCTGGAGAAATCTGCAGACCCTGACTGTGTGAGTCTTGAGCTTGGCGATCTGCTTTATTCCTGCGCCAAGCTGGGCGCTGATCCCGAGCCCACACAAGTGGCCTCCGCAATCACCGGCAAGCAGAATTGTCTCCTGGAGCTGCCAGTCCCACTGCCGCTTCACCCTGGCAGGACAGGGGCCGGAGACTTTGAAGGGGACCCTGGGGCTGATGCCACATGTTGAGTGACAGGGACTTGCTGAGCAAGAATGTGCTGCCTGTTCATGCTCCCCTCTTATGCACTGTCAGGGGTTTTGTTGGAGTTTCTCCCCATTTGCAAAAGAGAGGGGGGAGGTGCAGGCCTGGAGAGGATGGTCTGCGACAGCCTCTGCTGTCTGCAACAACCTCGCTCGGAAACAAGCTTACCGGCACACCCTCTTTAATCTGATTTATGCAGCAGATTTTTACTAAATGTCTGCAGACACTGACTAGGCCCTGGGCCCCCAGGAGTCCCTCCCTTGTGGCTCTTACAGGCTCATCAAGATGATAAGATTAAAAGGAGAAATTGCTGTATAATCCCAGCCTCAGCCCCTGCTACTTCACCTTTCCCTGGCTGCCTCCCAGAACACAGCACCCGTACACATGTCAGCTCCTTCCTTCCCTGGTTCACACTGTCCTCTCTAGATCTGGATTTAGAAGACCTGGGCGAGTTACCAGCTGTGTGATGCTGGGCAGCTCAGCCTCTCTGAGCCTCGTTTTTTATCAGTGATAAAATGGGATAATATCTACCTCACGGGCTGGTTGTAAGAATTACATAGAATCATGTCTGTGAAGGGCTTTGATGAATGATCCATGTGGAGATGATCACTTTAACCAGAGGATCCTTTCCTCTAGATTAAGGTTCAGGGGTGCTCCCCCTGTTCCACTGACCTGGTGATTATTAGTTGCTGTCCTGGCCACACCTCCATTGTCAGTGTGCGTGGTGGAGGGCTGAGGATGAGAAGAGCCACGTGAGCTGCCAACTGCCAGCAGACCCTGGGCATCACTGCTACCGAAGGAGGGAGCTGGGTCCCCTCCCTCTGTGGGGACGCCACCCCCATCCCCCCCACACCAGTCTGGAGCCCCTGGATCTTTTCTTCTGGCTTCAGATTTCCTCCCTTTAAAATGAAAATTGGGGTTGGTGTGTAGACCAGTGTTTTCAAATCGTGTTCCTCTAACTCCTCAACTTCCCAGGAGGTCCCCCTTCATGCTGAGGGAAGCGATGAGGAGGCCTCCCAAACTGTTCTAACTGGAGCACCTTAGCTGTTTCTTTTCTGAAGTTTCTGTGATAATAATGGGCTCCTACAGATCTTTTTTTAAGGTTACATCACTGGGAGAGATGCTCTGGAAAGTTCCCTTCCAGCTCTGGTGCTGTCATAGCCTGCTGGGCTGGCTGGGCTTGAGAGGTGACCCCGGAGTGTAGGAACATGGCAATGAAGGGCTTTCCAAGAACAACAGGCAGCCAAGGGCTGTATGGAAAGTGTCTGGTATCATTGCTAAATTTAAACACTGAGCCCCCACTCCTTGCCCGCGAGCGAGTTTGGGAGGCTTGAAGGGCTAAAAGGAGTAGCTGGAACTACCATGGGAACTGGGCCATTAAGCAGGTCCTCAGTCAGGACATACCCCAAACTAGTCACCCTGACCAATCCCTGATGCCTGGAGAGTTGTTAATAGAGCCTGGGGGGCCCTCACTGTGGCCCAGACCCCTCCCGTCTCGCCTGCTCTTAGCAGTGTCTTTCTGTTCTCCACTCTGTCTCTGGTGAATTCTTTTCACCCACGTGACTCTGACCTACACCCCAATTCTCCCCCACGACAGAAGGCATGGCCCCAGTGAGAGCAGCTGCTCGGGCATCCAGATTGTTCCAGGGACCCCGGGGAAGAGGCTCAGCTGTCCTCACCCCCTTCCAAGGCCGCCGTGACTGAGAAGTCATGTGTGTCACAGCGCGGCTGCCGCCTGACCCTGCTGCGCCTCTGCACACCTGGACCTGCCCCCTGGGCCCCCACATCGCCCTCCTCCCCCGTCTAGGCTTTTGCCCAGACTGTTCTCCCTGCAATGTCCTCCCCTTGGGTTACAGGTTTTTAAATCCTACTCTTTCTTCAAGAACCAGCTCAAATTCCACCTCCTTGGAACTTTCCTTAACGCATACCTCTTCTCTCCTGCCAAATCTGGGGTTACCCCTCCTCAAACTCACACAGGATGTGGCCTGGGCTTTCTTTACAGTGCTGGGGTTATGGTGGGTTTTTTTTTTAAGTGTCTTATCGCTCATACTTCTGTGTCGTCATTTCCCACCTCCCCAAGGGCAGGGCAGAGAGTGGGGGACAGTAATAATTTGCGGAATGAGTGCATGAATGAACCAGCCAAACGCAGAGCCATCGTGGCAAGGAAACCAAGTGGGTGGGGAAGGTTTCCGTCTGCCAAGCTTCTGCCGGGAGCTGCAGAAGGAGAACTATCCTCAGATGCCCTTGTTCAGACGGAGGATTATTGGTGGGGAGAAAATCGGCAGCCCAGGAGATGAGATCAGGGGAGGAAACTGAGGCCTTCATAGCCAGCGTCTGCTCTGAGCTCCAGAGCCTCTGGACCAGTCCACCTCAGCACAGGGCTGACAACACAGAGGAGGACTTGAACAGTCCAGCACTTGGCCTTGGGCAGCAGAAAGACCCGAAGACCAGCTCCAGGACTGCTGATTGATGGCTGTGTAACTCTGGGCAATTTTCTGACAACCTTTGGAGACTTGGTTTTCCATCTATTAAAATAGAGAGAGGGCCTCCCTGGTGGTACAGGCAGTTGAGCGCCGCACTGTGAAGCTCTCTGCAGCCTCTGCAGCACGGGTTCCATCCCAGCCGGCCGGGGAGATTCCCACATGGCAAGCAGACCTCTCCTGTCACGCCCGCTGCTCCCCTCAGCAGTGTACTTCATTCAGTCTGTCCTGTTCCCCACTCTGTCTCCAGTGAATCCTCTCACCCTCCCGCACATCTGGTCTATACCCCAGTTCTTGTATAAAAATAAACAAATCTTTAAAAATAAAATAAAATAGGGATAGGTGAGTCTAGAGCTCCTATGGGTGTGGGGAGAAGGAAGTAGGGCACTGCACTCGGAGCGTAAATAGCACGGCATCTGATGTACCCAACCAGCAGCAGCTGCTGCTGTTCATGATCATTTTACCTGGAGCTGACTACTCCGGAGGAGGAGCTCTGGGGTCTGGCCTCTGATGCTGATTATGTTGCTTGTTTAGGTCCCATGTTGACTACCCACCTAACACCCCATAGATTCAACTATAGCTTGTCTTAATTTCATCAAACCAACATGTGCTGCATCTTGTGCTGACTCACGCTAGATTAGAGCCTATAACAAGCCTTTTGTCAATGTTCATCCACTTTAGCACCAAACACAATGCCACGCTCACATAAGCACTCAGAGGTGAGTGAATGCATGAGTGAGCGAGTGAGTGAGTGATCAGCTGCTGCCAGCAGGGATGTGGGCAGCCTCAGCTGGATGCCATTGAGTGACAGGTCAGCTTCCCTCTGGTCCCTGTTTGCCGTGAGCTCCAGGCTGTGGAGAAGAGGAAGATGCTGCTGGGC